AAGGGGATCGCTGTGGGGAGAAAGACAAAACTGGGTTGGCTGCAGCCATGTCCCTGAGGAAAGGCAGCCACTGTGGATCCTCCGGTGTCTAATGGGGGGGGCACACCTTCCCTCACCTTTGCCCGGACACCGACTTGCACAAAACCTGTAGGAACAAAATCTGCTTGAAATCACCCAGTGGTCAGAAGGTAACGGCAATGGGGACAGCACTGTACAGGCACGGGGGAGCGGGGCCCTTTCCCACTGAGCCAGCACCCACTTACACCCCAAAATGTTCTAATGGCCCCAGCAAGGACTTGCTGTCCCCAAAACAGAGCTGCTCACCCCATGGCCATCCAAAAATCCATGGCACAACTAGGATGTGGCCCCGGTGCCAGATCCCCTTGCCATCCTTCCATGGTGCCTTTGGGCAAGCAGCTCTCACCCCGGGACAGCTTTTGGGCACCCAGGTCCCCCGAGTCCCTGCGAAAGGGCCCAAGTGTGCCAGGGGCAGCAGCGACCCGAGGCGGGGGCTGATGGCAGGGGCTGGGAGCACGTGTTTAGTCGGCTGTGGAGCTGGGGATGCAGAGAGAGAGCATCTCTGAGCACAGAAAGCACTGCTTTTGCCCCATTTTGTGTTCCAGATTTTAAAGAAATGAGGCTATCTGTCACCAGGGAGGGGACACTGAGCACTGGGCAGAAGTGTCTGGCTGCTCCTGGGATGGGGTGGTATTCGGGGAGGTGCTTGGGAGTGAGCCAGCACCAAGTGTCCCCCATGCACAGGCACCTTAATGACCCAAACCCACCCATTTTCCCCTCACTGAAGCCACCAGCAGCCATTGCATCTCTCTGGTCATCACCTGCGTTTTCAAGCAGGCCGTGGGGCACCCGCATCCCATCCATGCCACCTATTTCCCCATGGGAGCCTGCAGTATTTGCTCCCCCTACTTCCCAAAAAAGACATTTTTTTCCCTTTTTTTTTCACCATACTGCTCTGGGGCTCATGCAGACCCTTTCCATTAAGCCCCAGCCTCCCCCTCCATCCTTCCCTGCTGCTGAGGCCCCTTGCAGTGGCAGGGAGGGGACAGTGCTCCCATTCCTCACCCGGGGGCTGGGGCTCCGTGTCAGCCCCTCGCGTTTCAATGAAACCCGCAGCAGTTGCCTTGAACCGGGGGCCAATCTCCCTTGCAAATGTTCCCTTTGATTTTATATTACGATTAAGGCAACGGAGTGTGGCTGAAAATTAAGAGGAAAAAGAAATCAGTTGAGCATCCTTCGTCTTGCCATGTTCCTAAGCCCGGCAAAGGGCCAGGCCTGGGGATGAGGGTCCCACCATGGAGACGCCCTGTTGAGTCCCACTCACTGCTGGAGATGGGTCCAAGCTTGGGGCCAGTTTGTGCAAAGCCAAGTCTGCAAAACGTGGCAGCACGGCGCTGCAGAGCCGCCCGCTCCCCTCCTTGGCTCAGCTGCCTCCCCGTGGTCGCTGATGCCGGGAAATGCTTTTCCTCTGACCGGTTTCAATCTTGTCACTCGGTAATTCCTTGTGCGACGAGACAGAAAACACCCCCCCAGACCCTCTTCTCCAGCCCATTTGTTTCCCTGCACACTCTCCTCTTGCTCCCGCTCACTCGCCACCTTTCAAGGTAATCACCGGCACTGCAATCGCTCTTCAGGAATATTTTTTTTTTCCTTTTCCCCAGGTGCTTAATCACCTTTATTACCCTTTTCTGATTAATTAATTCTAATTAATTTTGCACTATCATTTTTGAGAAGAAGTGACCACGACGGCACATGTTGTTGCAGGTGATTTGCAAGGCAGGTCCTGCAGCGCCGGCACAGCCCTTGCCTCATCGGCATCAGATCCGGGCGGGTGCCTGCTGCCCCGTTTGCTACCATTAATGGCAATTAATAGAGCGACGAAGCCCTCCGAGGCCCTGGGAAGAGCCCCGAGGTACTTTGCTGGGAACCATGTGGGATGCTCCCACCTCCTGTGCTCTGCCGAGGCAGTGGGGTTTGGCCCTGGCCAAACCTGCCCCTGCATCCACGTTTGCCCAGCTCTTTCAGCTGCTTCCACCACACCACGGCCAAAGCTTGGGAAGTCGGAATGAATTAGGTCAGGGCTCCTCCCCGCCCACTGAGAGCCACCAAGGCGCTCAGAGGGGTGGCAGGGATGTGGGTCCCTTTGTGCCAGCCATGCTCTGTCACCTCTCATCTCCCAGCACCAGTGCCAGCCCTTCGCTGAGTACCAGCACAGGCTTCACCCCTACATCACCCCAGAGCCTTTGGAGCTGAAACCCAACGTGGTTTGGGTGATCCTGCCCTTATAATAAATACACGTCCGGGGGACAGAGGCTGCTGTCCCTTCGCTGTTTGTCCCAAAAGCAACCCCTGGTCCGTACCTCATCCCCAGCACCCAGCAAGGAGAGGGGACGCAGGCTGGGAGGCTGTGGCTGCACTCCTGCCCAGGAGGCTCATCAGGGAGTCCCATGTCCCTGTCACAGGCACCAGTCACTGTCCCCAAATGGAGCTGGTCAGATGCTTCTGCTGGCCCTGTGGCCACCCAGCGCAGCTCGGGGCTGGCACCGTCCATCCCACCTCGCTCCCTCAGCTGCTGGCTCTCACCGGGAGGCTGAAGCATCATCACCGACACTGCTGAAACCCTCCAGCAGCCCAAAATAAAAAGTATTTATTATGTATAGTGTAATATATGCTAGAGACTACAAACTGTATGCTATATGCTAGAGAGCAGATAATATAGTGTGTGTATATATATAAAAACTCCCTCCATACACCATGCGTATAATATTGTTAGCATAACTGTGCGTACACATATATAGTGTAAATGGACCATTTATGCCTATATGTATATACATATGTACATATACACACGAGATATAGGTATATGCATATAGATATATGCATATGGATATATGCACATACACAAATATATATGTATACATATATAAAACATATTTTTATTATGTATATATGGTGTACATGGTATGGTGGGGGAAAGAGGGAGAGAGCATATGTACATGTGCAGAGTGAAGCTGCTCCATGG